AGCCTGAAACACTAGGAATCTTTTCGAAATATATTTGTAGATACTCGAAACATCCTGTAAACCCACCTGAATCATTAGGTATCTTTTCAAAATATATTTGTAGATGCTCGAAACACCCTGTAAACCCGCCTGAAAAATTAGGAATCTTTTTTAAATATATTTGTAGATACACGAAACATCCTGTAAACTAGCCTGAAACACTAGGAATCTTTTCAAAATATATTTGTAGATACTCGAAACATCGTGCAAACCCGCCTGTAACATTAGGAATCTTTTCCAAATATATTTGTAGATACTCGAAACATCCTGTAAACCCACCTGAAACATTAGGAATCTTTTCGAAATATATTTGTAGATACTCGAAACATCTTGTAAACCCGCCTGAAACATTAGGAATCTTTTCACAATATTTTTGTAGATGCTCAAAACATCCTGTAACCCCGCCTGAAACATTAGGGATCTTTTCGAAATATATTTGTAGATACTCGAAACATCATGTAAACCCGCCTGCGACATTAGGAATCTTTTCGAAATATATTTGTAGTTACTCGAAACATCCTGTAAACCCGCCTGAAACATTAGGAATCTTTTCAAAATATATTTGTAGATACTCGAAACATCCTGTCAACTAGCCTGAAACATTAGGAATCTTTTCAAAATATATTTGTAGATACTCGAAACATCCTTTAAACCCGCCTGAATCATTAGGTATCTTTTGAAAATATATTTGTAGATGCTCGAAACATCCTGTAAACCCGCCTGAAACATTAGGAATCTTTTCAAAATATATTTGTAGATACTCGAAACATCCTGTAAACCCGCCTGAAACATTAGGAATCTTTTCAAAATATATTTGTAGATACACAAAACATCCTGTAAACACGTCCGAAACATTAGGAATCTTTTAAAATATATTTGTAGATACGCGAAACATCCTGTAAACCCACATGAAACATTTGGTATCTTTTCAAAATAATATTTCTAGTTACTCGAAACATCCTGTAAACCCGCCTGAATCATTAGGTATCTTTTCGACATATATTTGTAGATACTAGAAACATCCTGTAGACTAGCCTGAAACACTAGGAATCTTTTCGATATATATTTGTAGATACTAGAAACATCCTGTAAACCCGCCTGAATCATTAGGTATCTTTTCAAAATATATTTGTAGATGCTCGAAACACCCTGTAAACCCGCCTGAAACATTAGGAATCTTTTCGAAATATATTTGTAGATACACGAAACATCCTGTAAACTAGCCTGAAACACTAGGAATCTTTTCAAAATATATTTGTAGATACTCGAAACATCGTGCAAACCCGCCTGTAACATTAGGAATCTTTTCAAAATATATTTGTAGATACTCGAAACATCCTGTAAACCCACCTGAAACATTAGGAATCTTTTCGAAATTTATTTGTAGATACTCGAAACATCTTGTAAACCCGCCTGAAACATTAGGAATCTTTTCACAATATATTTGTAGATGCTCAAAACATCCTGTAACCCCGCCTGAAACATTAGGGATCTTTTCGAAATATATTTGTAGACACTCGAAACATCCTGTAAACCCGCCTGAGACATTAGGAATCTTTTCGAAATATATTTGTAGTTACTCGAAACATCCTGTAAACCCGCCTGAAACACTAGGTATTTTTTCAAAATATATTTGTAGATACTCGAAACATCCTGTAAACTAGCCTGAAACATTAGGAATCTTTTCAAAATATATTTGTAGATACTCGAAACATCCTGTAAACTAGCCTGAAACATTAGGAATCTTTTCAAAATATATTTGTAGATGCTCGAAACATCCTGTAAACCCGCCTGAAACATTAGGAATCTTTTCAAAATATATGTGTCGATACTCGAAACATCCTGTATACCCGCCTGAAGCATTAGGAATCTTTTCAAAATATATTTGTAGATACTCGAAACATCCTGTAAACCCGCCTGAAACATTAGGAATCTTTTCGAAATATATTTGTAGATACTCGAAACATCCTGTAAACCTGCCTGAAACATTAGGAATCTTTTCGAAATATATTTGTCGATGCTCGAAACATCCTGTAAACCCGCCTGAAACATTAGGAATCATTTCAAAATATATTTGTAGATACTCGAAACATCCTGTCATACTGTCTTAAAAACTAGGAATCTTTTCAAAATATATTTGCAGACTCAGAAATCATCCAGGAAACCTGCCTTAAACATTAATTACCTTTCTAAATTATTTTTGTAGACATTCAAAACATCCTGCCAACTTGCCTTCAACATTAATTATCTTTCCCAAATATTTTTGTAGACACTGAAAATACCCTGCAAACCTCTCTTAAACACTAGGAATCTTTTCAAAATAAAAGTCATACGTTTTGTTCCACCATTGTACTATTATTCTTAACAACAATCTCAAATAAGGTTAGGTTTTGGCCTTTTGAATGGCGAGGAAGTGTTCCCAATTATCATTACAGCTTTCCTGTGTAACGTTTCGGCTTACAAAAGTTTCCGTGGAAGCGATCTTCTTTTTGGATAGCAAGGAAATACGCACACACACAAGTACACACATACATGTGATAATTTAGATCATTTTACTTTTACATGTTTCGTCAACGAGCAAAATAATTTTCATTCACAAGAACAAAATTTCCATCGCAAGACTCAACGGGATTCTCGTTAAGCATCAGAACGCATATATTTTGCTTTAATAGAGACTCTCAATATTTTACAGATAATAATTCCTGATAGGATATTCGATTCTCTTACGATAGTTTCGTTTTATTTTTAAATCTTCTCCAAATTTTTCTGCTGAAATTTTGTTATTATTCAAAATTTTTTTCGCAGTATCGTCGTCCTTCTCTTTATCATTGTTGCTGCTTCGATAGTTAATTTTCTGCGGTTACTCTCTTCAGCCTTACTAGTTTTGATTGAAGTCGGCATTATTATGCAGACGGACGTCAAATTCTTTGCTGTTTCATTCCCTACGGTCTGACTGTGGATTTTCCATATTTCCTGAATATGTTTTGCCAGATGAATATTTATCATTTGCTCAAAGAAGTAGAAATTAAAAAAAGGATTAGGTTATATACAGCGTCCAATAGGAAAATTAGTTTATTATTCGAAACGTAGTAACTAAAGTTACAATTTCATAAAATAATGACTTTCAATATATCTCTGTGTGTAAGCACATCTGTACATAGCCTTGCTCATAGGTACGTGATTGAAACACAGTCATAAGATTAATTTTAGAGACGATTCCAAATTAATGCATAGAGCAATAATATACTAAATCGATGACAATCACAAACCCAACGAGTGATGCTGCGAACAACACCAGTGAAACAAGCAATAAATTACATAAATATAAAAGAAACAGAAAAATAGAAAAAAAAACAGACAATTGGCTGTAGAGAATATACATAGTAGCAGTAACCAGCAGTCCAGTAGTAGTAACAGTTGAGGAGATCCTTTAATAGCATATTCTTTCAAAAATAAACAATTTTCTCACTTCTCTTCCCTTGACTAATCCGTGGGCTTTTACTGCTCTGAAGTGAAACGCTTTTCGCTACTAATCAGTAAGTAGTACTTTTCCTTGTTAAGACACTTGTGGATTCGGACTTTCTTGTTAACGAAACGGGGAACTTTTATTAATTTATATCTTATTTTATGGAAAAAAATATTTCATAAAATTTTAACCTGTCGTCTATTTGCTTTTCATTGTGTATGGTTTTGTCGAAAAGGTTTTTTGCTGGTAGAGACATCACCTCAGAAGTACATAGCATTTAAAAAACTGACGATTATCCAGAGCCATCGCTGGGCAAAATACGTAACTACAACCCACGGACTGTATGCAGACGACTGAGGATTTTATGAGGTCCACAAGATTAAAACAAACGAATACTTTTTAATAGTTGTCCGATTACTGCCGGTTAGATTTCGAATTACCGCCACTTGACGATAATTACAGGCGGTGCGAGATTTGAAAGAATCCATCTCTTTTTCGGTGACTTTACATAGCGAAAAGACGTATTATTTTTGTTTCATAAAAATGTGAATACTCAGCTACAGACAGTGAAGTTTGCTTTGAACGCTTCACATTTCATTTCTAATTTTCCTTTTGTAAAATGCCCTATCAATATATTTGTTAAATATTTCTTTGTTCAAATTCTATATCTTATTTTCCTTCACACACACACACACACACACACACACACACACACACACACACACACACACACATATATATATATATATATATATATATATATATATATACAGTAGAACATCACGTCGGTTGGTTACCATTTTTTGAGGGCTTCAACAAAGACCATGAAAAAACGTTGGCATTTTTTTTTGTTCCATGTTGCACAAAGCAGCAATCTATTCCCGACATGAGAAAAAAGCGAACAAAGACAGGAAGCATTTATATTTAATATCCCTTTTATTTTCATTTATCAAATAAAAAGTCGATCTCAGATTTGAATCTGCAATTTCTCTTGATATATCAACGAGTAATACTCATTATGTTAACTTTCTCAGCTGCACAGATTTCATTAATACTAATAAATGTATTAAATCTAAAACTAATTTGTCATATATTTGTGCAATATTTTCACAGAATGCGTTCACTAAGCAAATGAATGCGCAAATAACATGTAGATGTATGATTGTCATTTATATAGTCGTGTAACTCGGGTTGATATTGTGATGCAGCCTCAGGACTAATAATAATACGGTTTTCATTGAAAAAAATTGTTCAGCTCTGATTCAAGCCATTATACATTAAACTTCCCAGAATTATGTCTACTTATCTCCGAAACCTATGTATATTTTATTTATAAAATTTAACGAGTAGGAAAGCGTTGATGATTCTAGGATATTTCAAAGTTTTGTTTATTTGTATTTGGCGATAAGTATATTTATCGAACAGTCAGCGTTTATTTTTGGGGCTTTTTCAATCTTTAAGAGTTACCTCCCTTGCAAGCTGATGTCAGATGTTCTCATTTCGCATACGGAATATCAAAATTATACAATGACCCAGACTCGCGCCGCATGAAAATGGAATTAAGGATAATCACTAATACTAGAAAAAAAATGAAATGACCAAAACTGTACGAGTATAAATGAATAAGAATATATTTAAAAGAGAGAGAGAGAGAGGATGGAGAGAGAGAGGGATGGCAAGAAAGATAAAGAGGGTGAGAAAAAGAGAGATAGCGAAACGTAAAGAAAGAGAGTGAAAGGGAAAGAGAGAGAGGGAAATGGAAAGAAAGATAGTGGAGAGGGAGAGAAAAGGAGAGTAAGAGAAAGGTAAAGAAAGAAAGAGAGAGAGTGAAAGAAATGGAAAGAAAGAAAGAGAGGGAGAAAAAAGATATATAGAGACAGTTAAAGAAAAAGAGGGTTAAAGCAAAAGACAGAGAGAAATGGAAAGAAAGATAGAGTGAGAGTGAAAATAGAGCTAGAGAAAGGTACAGAAAGAGACAGTGAAAGGGGAAAAAGAGAGAGAAAAAGAAATGGAAAGATAGAGAGAGGTAGAGAAAAAGAGAGATAAAGCTAAAGAAAGAGAGAGTGAAAGGGACAAAGAGAGAAAGAGAGAGAAATAGAAAGAAAGGTAGAGAGGAAGAGAAAAAGAGAGATAGAGAAAAGTAAAGGAAGACAGAGTGAAAGAGAAAGAGAGAGAGAGAGAGAGAGAGAGAGAGGAGAGAGAGAGTGGGATATAAAAAAACTGAAGGAATTCCAAGTGAAGCAGTGTGACTCGGTCATAACTTTAGTGGCAGACGTTTTGAATTATGTAAACGAAAAAAACAAAAAACAAAAACAAAAAACAAACTCTTGCATCTCATCCATAATACATCGGTGGTGTACGTGATGTTAGTCCATGGGGGTCACAGTAAGCAGAATGCCTAGTCTGTTGATCGATTCACGGTAGGAACAGATCTGAACTTTAAAAAAAGAAATAGGCAAATAAAAAAATAAAATAAAAATAAAATAAAAAAGATGGAGAGAAAAGTCCAATAGATGCACGAACGAGTAAAACACTGATACAATATTAGAAAAATCAAAGACGACAACGATGACGGCGTCAACCACAAAGACGAACGCAAACAACAATTCGGCTAAAAAAATGCATTCAATCAATAATAATGGAAAACAGCTAAAGAGTAAAACAAAAATGCATGACCTCCCCCCCCCAAATTGAATAAACATAAACGATTACAGAAAAAATATATAAAGCAAACAGATGAAAACCGTTAAATATCTGGAGATTATGGAATTTTCTTTTTTCTGGCAGACGACGGATCATTCTCTATTCCGGTGGCATTTCTCTTTTTAGCGTTTTCCAATAAGCAAAAAAATGGCGTTACACAAATTCTGCCACATTGTGTATTTTATTTTATTTTTTTAAATGAATATGATTTACAACCATTGATCAGTTTCCTCTTTTTTCTGCCTCCCTTTAGAATTGAGCTTGTTTATTCTAATTTTTTAGTTAAAAATACACCATTCTGGTCTTTAAGGAGTTGTAATAGTTGTAGTGATAGACTGGAATCAATAATCCACAGTACTTGCTTATATTTTCTATCAGGCTAAAAGATTTTTCTTCTTTTTTTTAAATCGAGTACAGTTCACAGGTGTTGCTAAGAAAAGAGATTACAAGCTAAATCAGTGCTCAATATGGTTGTGTTTCGGCGTCTTAATAGCCCAACATGTCAGCCGCTACATTCTACAGCCTCCTATCAGTGGTTGTTGCAGGAACTTCAAATTTTGGAAAATAAGACAATTGGATAAATAAGCGTTTAAATAAGCCGATCAGTAGGCTTAGGATAGTTATAAATACAATATGTGTGCCTTTGAAGATACATTCTGTGTGTCCTCCGATATAAAGTTTAGTAAATAAAAACACTGATATTCCAATGCCCTGGAAGTATTGAGGTAGGTACTTGTCCCAACAAAATCACTGGTGGCTTCGAAATTTCATAGAAACGACTTTCAATTTAACAGGTAAATGAACAAGAACAAAGTATCTGCTTGTGGATCAAATAAAGATTTAGGTCACCATACACCGAATGTTAACGAATGTATAACAGAGGGAAGGATGAACCGTATAATTTTTTTTTTATAACTTGGCTTGAATACTTTACTACAGGCTATTAAGTAAAAAGTTCGAAATTCCCAGAAAGTTGCTGAATACGACAGAAAACTGAAGAAAACCGAAAGTTAAACTGTCGAAACTTTGTGGCTACAAAAAGGGTTAGATCAATATGAGTGGATCGATGTATTCTCATGGTAATTTTTCATTTATGAGAATCGAAATTACTAGTCTATACGGAACACAATTTTGGGGCTGTTTTTTTGATCGATTTCACCCCAAGCAAGCATTAAATCCACTAAGACACAAAAGGTTACTAGGTGTGGAAGAATTAGAAAACAGAAACTTTACTAAGGAGTAAGAACAAAAGAAAAGTAATCAGGGGGACAGTAGATAGCGATTGACATTGCATTTCATTTTTTGAAGATTAAAGTTGGCTGGAAAGCATAGAACCACAAGAGAGAATTGCGTGAAAAGAAACTGTAAGCAGAGAAGTTACAGTTACATTTAGCCAACTCATCTGTATATTGGCGAATATTTGTCAATCTAGTACTGCGCTTAAATGTGAATATTTTCTTTGAGAGTATTTATAGAAAAGGCACAGGGAGGCAACTTTAGGGTGGTGGGAAAGGGACTGAAGCCGAGATGCCAGATCAGGACCGACAATATTGTTGATTCTTCTCTGGATTTTATCAAGGATCTCTAGATATATGTCGGGAGCACCAGACCATATATGGTAGCAAATATTCTTAGTTTGGGCGAATGGTAGATTTATAGATATGTAAGATAGATTCAGGAGGGAATAATTTTATAGCACGACACATTGAGCCAATTTTTTGTCAGTTTACCTAGCAACGGATTTAATATAGTCTTTCCTTTTCATGTCAGCCTAGAACGTTAGCCCAAGAAAGCGCAACGAGTCACTCTCCTGGAGGTTAGCATTAGCCATGCTGAGAGTGGGGGTGGGTCTCTCAGATGATTAATAGAGAGTAGCTTAGTTTTGGGAGCGTTAAAATTAACAAGCCATCCTTTGCCTCAGTTAACAACAGACTGAAGATCGTTTTTGACATCATCCGCCACTTTGAATTGGTCGGGCCTATCAGACTTATATCGAGACAGATGCAAATGATTGTGTCATTAGCATAGATACCAAATTGAGAGCTGATGCTATCGGGTAGGTCGTTATTGGAAATTAAAAACCAAAGTAGGACCTACGTGGCAAAGTTTAGTTTTCAATTCCGGTTAAAAATCTTTCCGTAAAAATGTTGATTTTCAAAGTAGAAAAAGTGGGCACTCACCATTTGAAAGAACACAATATTCCTCTTTGGAATTATTCTTACAAGAAGATAGTTCTTACAAGACCTTCAGCCAATGATAATAACTGTGTAATGTTACTCAGAGGTGAGTACGTATCTATCATTCGGTAAACTTTCCATTCCTTATAAAAAGAACGCGACGAACTTTTCAGCACGTTTCGTATTTATTTTATCTGAATTTTCGTTGCTTATCGTGACTCGCCGTCCATCATTCTAGAATTGTTAATAAGCAACAGTAAATCGGAAATAGAATAATTAATTCCCTGGCAGGAGTTGAACTTAAATATGTTGTCATCTGGAGTTTCTCTTTTCAATAACGTTACGGACGTCAATCGGTTACAATATTTCACATCTATTTTCCCCAAACACCTGATAGGCGGATTTCTTCTTCTTATTACATAGCCTCGTAGTTGTATGACATTATTATGATTTCTTATATGACGCATTGCCAATATTTGTTGCTTCTTATCTCAACTCCTACCTCGTTACAAATTAAAGACAAATCATTTAATAAGTTCGAATAATATTACAGCTACTTTTAAAGGACACATAGCACAGTGGATAAAGGCGTTAGTTAGATCCAGTGACAGGAGAGTGAGTTCAATACCCAGTTAAGGCAGTGGAGAACTTTCACAGGGAAATTAACAGGAGATAACTGATAACTGACATCCATTAAACATGGCACGTGGAACTAGAACAGTCTACCCCAGTGAGCGAAATAAAGGGTTAAGTTCGACATTCCAACCACCTGAAGAAGGCCGGAGCGTACAACGGCCGAAACGTTGTAATAAATATGGCGACAAAGATGAGGACAATAGTCCGAATAATGTAAATAATGTACTTTAAAAAAGTATATGATAAAAAAATGGTCGACTATCAGGTGTTCGAAGAAAGTAAATAAGGTTTAAGTTAAATTAGTGTAGCCAGTTGGTTTTTGTAGCTAGATTGATGAGGCAGATGTCATGTCAATGTAAGATGCTGAGAATAAATAATAACTTTGAGTGTGGACTGAGTTGTATTCTTTGTTTTCGATCCGACTGTTTATTAACGATCGTAGAATGACGACCTAGGTGTGGCGATAAAAAACAACTGAATATAAGATGAAGGAAATACCAGTTAAAATGTAATGATAATTAACAATATTTTATCAAAGATATTTGAATATAATGTTTTTTGTTATTCTGTTCGATTCTTAAAAGACAGTCTAAGCTGTAATAAATCCTCAATGAAGATTTTCTATTACAAATGATGCAAAATAATGCGTAGCGATCTTTTGACTAAAACATTTTGTCTACACAGAATAACGCTATGCTTCATACTTTGTAAAATCACCACCACATAGGCAATATAAAATAGTTAATTTAACTTAATATATTGTATAAAAAGGTTTCGGAATTGGGCACCCCTAATTTTTGTTAGTATAATGATATTTATTTCTTTGTTTCTTTAATAAACTGTCGACTCGCGTGAAAAGAACGGTCAGGTTCACTGGTCCCGTCATCTGACGAGGAAATTTCTAAATTGGATCCTAAAAACTCGGCACTCTTAGGAAAGAAACGATTTGAGCCTTTCAAAACTGAGACGGGAAAATATCTTCGGGCAACAGCTGTCATGGACAAGTCCCTTGTCGCAGTTAAGGAGGCATTTGACTTTTTTTTTTTTAATACAACGACATGGGTATTTCAGGAACGTATGAGCTGGGCTGGGCCAGATCAGTGCGGGAGTGACAAGCAGGTCTATTATGAAATGCTCGTTAAAAAGAATTGGGTACAGGGTTTAGATTATAAGGAGATCTAGGAAAAAATGTTAACTTCTTTTAAAAAATACGTTTGAAATGTACGAGAAGATATTTTGAATGTTTTCTGGAATTTGGTTTCGATTTATTGAGATTAAATAATTCAGCGATTTATCTGAAGTACTTGCCAACGTTTCTCCATGAAAGGAGAAAACGAGAAGAGGTGGAGGTAGAAGAACTACATGCTGAACCATTATTATTATTATTATTATTATTATTATTATTATTATTATTATTATTATTATTATTATTATTATTTTCTAATCAGCAGCCAAACAGCAAGATAAGAGAATGCTTGGTTGTTAGCAAAAGGGACAGCCGAAAATGCAAATTGGAGATGCCAAAATCAAACAAGTACAACAATTTAAATACTTGGAAGGAAAAGTGCAACGCTGAGATCCGAAAGCGTATTGGGAGAGCGAAAGATGTTTTCCAAAAGCTAAGCAAAGTATTAAGAAACAAACATTTCGTTAGAAAGAAAGAAAAGAGTAGTGAACTGTTATGTAATATCAGTCCTCCTATATGGCAGTGAATGTTTCACAATCTCCTCACAGATGAAGAA